CTCTGGAAGATCAATAGTTTTGTAGTTCGAATTTTAGTGACGTCACGTGAAAACCAGCCATTGTGGTTAGCAAATGTTGTTCATAGTTCAAATACTGCAGGGAGCGTGACGCAAATTCTCGGAAGTGTAAACTACGTATAATGCTTCGCTAGCTGTTTTCCAGGCCTGGAAACAAGTTGAAATAGAGCAGTACGAAGAAACCCGGTAGACGAAGCAGTTTGATGATCCGAGGGCCCCATAAAGTAAGAGTAGTCCCTCTTTCGCTTAGTCAGTCGTGCTTGACGTGAAAGAAAACCACGAGGAAAATAATGGCTGCGCGAGATCCTGGGGACGAGAAGAGGTCTCGCTTGACAGTACCAAGCGAAAGAGGGACTACTCGAGGTCTAACGGCCCTAAACAGGCTAGCTGTTCGAGGGTCGTTCATATTCAACAAAAACATACTCGCAGAATCCAAAATAAAATTACCTCTCGAATACAGGCCAGTCCTTCTCGGCGTTGCTTTCCAATGGCTTAAGATCAAAAGAACCCTCTACTGTAGACAAGCCGCCAAATTGGTAACCAACGCCGAGAGGAGTCTGGGACAAGTTTCTTAGAAAGAACTTTATTAATGAAAATCGCGGGATCTGCACTGAACGGAGTTCAGCAAGACAAAAGGCTAGAGTTGCTAGACTTTACTATAGATTAGAAACATTTTGATATCAGAAGATGACCACGACATATTAACATATTTGATAATATTCAGTTCATTAGTCCTCTCCAGTTTCTCCCAGAAAAAGCGCTTGTATACAAGGCCCCCAACCATATTGTAACTTTAAACTCATTTGTCTGTTAGAATGTTACCGGTATTAAAGATTATAAAACTAATTTTAAACGTATTGAGGTGACCTTTGATTCGAAGAAGGATTGCAATTCTTTTAAGAAGCGCATGGGCGGTCTGCCCATCAATCTTTAGCTGACTGTCAGCGCACGACCATTGTTTGATCGGAAAAGTAACCCGCGTGCTAGTGGCTCTTAAAAGTACGGTACTGCTCTAAAAACGGAAAGGAGTGTCGCTCTTTGTTTCCGCCCCTTGAGTGATGAACACAAAAGGTACAACAATTCCAATCAAATGTTCCCCCGATGCAGTGTGTGTTTCCTTTGACGTGGTTTTGTGTGTGCGGCTTTTGTCTTTGCAAGTATCCTTACTGACGTTATTTGTATAGGGTATTATTACGAGCTGTGAGCCGCAGGGAAGTTTACTGAGATCATTCAAGTTGCTACCACATGCGTATGAAATGTTCTCGCCCAAATAAACACACTGATATCCGTTAATGGAATCTTGGCCTTGAAAAGGAAATATTTATATCTCCACCCCCACAATCAGAATCTAAGACAGCAGCGCTCCATACCTAAAGCATATGTGACTATGTGTTTTCGAATTCACGCTTGTGTGCGGGTCATTTTATTTTTAGCTCCGTTCTTCCGACTGTTGACAATGGCTAACAAAAGGACAATGAAAGTATGGAAACTATTTCTCTGGGAGTTATTAGGGTTCAAATTAAAACTCGGTCAACTGCAAATTCTAGAACAAAGGGAGGTAAACCGTAAGATCAGTTTTAGCAAGACCTTATTAAGTCCTTTATAATCGTTTTCCGTTTTGTTTTTCAAAAAGAATGTATTTTTAGAAGCGCTTCAGAAAAACCATAGAGACATACAGCTTAAAAAACATAGGTCAAGCCAGCCGAAGAAAGTGAAAGGAAGACAGACAAACGGATAAAATATCATAAACTCTGAATGATTTTAATTAAATCGATTCACTGTTTTTCATACATGTGACTTTAAGAATGCTGTGAGGTAAACAAAACGCGACTAACGGCACTCTAAAGCTGTGCTAATGCTCATAACGTTTTGTCCATCAACATGCCTAGATTTAAGTCGACACTATAATTGGTACACATACAACTGTGTAGGTAACAGTATCGAAACATAAACGCTCTCTTAAAAATAAATTAAACATTTCGTGGTAAGTTTCCTTTAATAGTTAAGTTCAATCAGCCTCCTCAAGGCCATTCGTTCATTAATTCAAGTTTCTTTCGCAATTCGTGACCGATCTCTAGTATTTCTCTTCTTTCTCGTCACTGTACGCTGTCCATGTTAAAGACAATAGTGGTTTTTAAAAACTTGTTGATTTAGCTTTAGTGGTCCAAAATTGGCCGGAAACGGCTCTCTCTATCTCGCTGCCGATCTACGCGTGTCGGAGACATTAGGAAGTGTGTTTTAAGGCGCAGATAGTACAAAGCGTAAAGTAAACTCAGATGTTCTTTAATGGACGCCATAAGGCGGTGGGATTGTTTCATCATAGCATCTCAATTAGTATACTACCGTACTTTCTTAAAAGTATGTTTAACACCTCTTGAAAAGCGCTAAATACGGCTAAGGTTATTTTACAGATAATACAATCATTTCTTGACGTGCTGTAACTCTAAGCCCGTGAATGAGGTGCGAATTTGTTTATTCTGACCCTGGTATTCAGTTAATTCAACAATCCTGCACGGGACTTTCTGTTCGTTCATGAAAAGGCCACTTAAACGTAACTAACCTGTCAAATAAAAAGGCGCAAATATAAGTAGCAGCTCAAAATCCATTGTTCTATAGTGGACAAGTCCAAGTTCTTCATCTTCTGTGCCTTTTCTTTCACTTATTTCCTTCATTAAAAATCGGAGAAGTCTTTGATTTTAGGTTCGGATTTGTGACCCCACTTGTCAGACAGTGCAATCCAAATTGGAGTACCCCTGACTCCTGCCCTCACTGTGAACACGAACATCTACAAGCGGTAGTCACGGGATAAAGAAACTTCACCCATCTGCATTTTGTATCCTTCCGTTCGGCGAATCTATCCAGGCAAAACCATCGAAGGACTCCCACGCGTTTTTTGCCAGAAACACGGCACCTCATCCCCGATGGAAATGAGCACGTTGCCTTTTTGGAACATTTTCCGACATTGATGTGACGAGGCCAATAGCGTACTCCAAAATCCTCCCATTTCTGGAGCACAGAACAGTGTGACACTTGCCAAAGCCAAAGCTGTAGTTTTTTACTTGCCTTAGGTCCAAGATATCTTTTCATACCGGGCATTCTGAAATCAAGGTTTTTTATTTCTTCCGGCATGCTCTTTACCAGCATCTTACGCAAGAAGTCCTGCTCGTCTGGAATGGTGTCGTTCTTCTTCATCAAAAGCTCTTCTTTGGTTAGCGCAATATATTTTGGGTCAAAGTCAATTCCTAGTTGTGTTTTCATCGCGTCGAGATCAAAGTCGCCTTCTACAGGATCACTGGGGTAGCTTTCAGGCTCTGGCGGTACCTTGAGCTTCAACTTGTCTCTTGAGGGTTGCGGACGGACGTCGGGTTTTAGGTGTTTCCAGGGTTGTGCCTCTGATGAGGTCTGCCAAACAGTGCTCAGAAAGCAAGCAATAACTAGCGTGAATATACTCTTGAACTTAGAGTGTCGCATCTCTAGAAACTTCTCAGTGTACTGTCACGTAGGTTAAGCCTCAGAATGGGAAACTGCGTTGGGCGTTCAAGGCGTTCTTTCGGTCCGTGGAGAGAAGTCGTGATCTTGACAATAACGAGGTCCTTCTTAACTGCTGCTTTGCTTCATGTGTCAACCCAGTTATCACTGTTTCAAACAATCAAATTCAATAAATAAATAAATATCTCAAATTATATCCGACTACCATCAAGTTCTTATTTACTTTGTCTACTTTTGCTCGTCTTTAAGTCTAGACAATCATTGATAGCATTAAATTCAGTAGCTCGGCTCTTTACGTTAACTGCCTCTACCTACATACGTTCACTCACTCGCTATCCGTGTATTCCTTTGACGTGGTGCCGAAAATCGGGTTAGTATCGGAAATGCCCCACAGTTTTGATGAGTTCCGTGGTTTTCAAAATGTTCAAAAAACTTTTGCCCGGCGCTATGCCATGTTTATTAGCTTGCGTAAGACCAACAGACTTGGCACTGTTAAAATACGTAGTCTTAATGTAACTCGGATCGCAGCCCGACGTCGGCGATACTTATTATTTTGGGTTCATTTCATTTAGTTGCTTTTGGTAATCAGATGAAACGAGGCATCCGGCTTTGTGGTTAGCAAAGCACCGTGCTCAAACCGTCGTCTCTCCTCGGCTTCACTGCGCAGTGCGGTCTGTTCGGCTTTTGCAACATGTTAAATAAAGTCTATCCCAGCAAGGAACAAGGCGCTAATTTATAAGGTTCACGGTGGGCGGAGATCCAGAGAACAGCCTCCAACGGCTTTATGTCAGCTGAACGAACTGCTTTATATGCACGAATACTCTTATCTCTCTCCGGTACTTGTCTATTGTTCCTTGGAAATCCATTTAGGTGCTAATACCTCTAATCCTTTTTTATCGCCAAATGTGACATTTATTAGAGATGTTCTCACTGTATGCGCGCATTCTTGGGCGCTAGATCATGGACTGCGCGAGTTTTCCTCAAATGTGTTTCTTCGCGAATAAAATTGATTGCACCGCAGCTTGGTTAATGAAATTTATACCGTACCCGGTTAAGGTTAATGAGTTTAAGCACCTCCTACGCCTGATAGCAAACCTGAAGCCAGTGATCTGATGACTTGATGGGCCGACTTTTGTCGAGCTTTTCATGAGCTTTAAAGCCTGTTCTGTTATCCATCACGCAGCGACATCAGCTGTCGACAGCCTCCTTTTACTGTGATCCGCCTGATCGATAAAATGCTAATTATACATTAATTGACCGAGATGCAAAAAGCCTAGCATGAAACTCATACATTAACTTAAGAGGGCCATTTTCGAATTTCAAGATGAGGATTTAGATTTCAGAGACTTGTACAAGCCAGTCTCGTGTGAAATAAGAGAGCATTTGAAATCATCATGCAACGCGAAGAGTACAACTGAAATTCTGCTGGCGATTAGCTAGGTGACCAAAACAATCGTATTCCATGATTTAAAGCAAACATCACGATCATCCCTCAGCCGATGCTTTGGGCGTGTCTGTTTCACAGATGTTTCGCAATAAACACTGTTTAAAGGGTTTTGACTTTCCCTTTGCGATTAGCAAGCACCATTCATTAAGCTAATCCCTCTTATTACCACTTATAAACCATTGCGGCACGGAGATTCGCATGAGTCGAACCGTATTTCTTGCGTCCGGAACATGCAGCGCGGGAAAATTAACTGCTCGACGGGTTACCGTGCCACCATTTAAGTACGTCACACCGTCATTGTCACGTTATTATGCTGTGAATAAGATTGCCTACAGATATCTGTTGCTTCCGTTTTATTCGTTGAGCCTTGCTGGTGTAATCTAAATGTGCTTATTGATAACTGTGTGGGTGGCACGAGGTAGTTTGAGAAGTCAATTATGACGTTTAAAGCTCTTCAAGCGTCAGCAACCTCAATTAAAGCGTATTTGTTTTTAATCAATGTGCTGAACATTTTTAAGAAAAGATCTAACGCTGCCCGCCGAAAGAATGTTCGTGAACGTGTGTTGTCACGGTGTTTATACTTTGTGCAGTGTGATTCGTGTGAAATAGGACTAATTGGAAGCTGTTCTTCCCGGCATTACACTATTAAAGTGTCTCGTGACAAAACTTGACACTTTTAATCCGTTGAAACTGTTGTAAAAGATTTTAAAGGCGATTGAAAGATTGAAACCAGGACTGTTATTTTTTCTATTAGAAAACTTCAAATCATTTTTCTGTGCTCATGGTGCATAAAGCTGTCCGCTAAGAGTGACTGAAGTTCATTCGTGGCATGCCGTCGTTTCAATGCGCCAGCATGCTGCTCTTAGCAAGAAACTTTTTAAACTTTTTTTCTAAGCTGATTGTTTGTTTTTGGAGAATTATAGACATAAAAGTAGGATCAAAAGAAAAAGAAAAACACAAACAACGCAAAAATGAGTACAACCCTAAAAAAGATGTATACTAGCAAGCATTTATTCTTGACTTTTGATTGCCGGTCACCCAGGTAAGCAATCTAGCGAACAGCAGCCAGAAGTTTTTTCTTTATAATAAGTTGGAGATCTCGATGAATAGTTACTTAGCTGCAGATGTACTTGAAAAGTTTAGCTCAGTACCCCCTTAAAACTACAAGAAGGACATCTACATAGAAAATCAGAGTTGACAACACACAACTAGGCATAAATGTATCCAGTGTCACTCTCTCGAAATCGCAATCGGTTAGTAATCGGTTAGCTAACTGTTAGATGCCGTTCCGCCTTGTACGGTGACCTAAACTGACCGAAACATTTACTGATATCCATGTACCGGCTTTTTCTCCCCCGTTCGTCGGACATCGCTCTGCCTGTTAAAACATGATAGCGTCGAACGATTGGTTTCCAATAGCTTTTCTTTCGTTCGAGGACTCAAATATTGAGGCTAAGGATATGTCGCTGTGTTATTAATCCGTTAACCAAGGCAAAGTTTCAACAATGTTATGTGGTTACTGTCGAAACACAATGGATTTCAGTTCGGCATCAGTCGACACCATATTAACGGAAATAACATCTACCAAAAAATTAATTAACTTACCAAAAATTTACCCCTGTTGAATGCATGAACTTTTCTAAGAGAGGCAGAACTCTATTTCCAAAAATACACCACGCGGCAGCAGGTTCAACTAGGTTAGCAGATGCGGTTAATCAAGTTTCCTTCCGCGCCCCCAAAAGAAGCCGATTTGTACTCTGAAAGTGTATTACCGGTTCAGAGAAGGAAATATCGGTAGATATATAACCACAAAGGCGCGCATGTGCAAACCTAAAGACTGGACCAGCTTAAAGCCAAGTTGGGCCATTTGATTGGTTGCTCAATGGAGTTTGGGATGACGCCTTGAAACAAATACTGTGGTTACGACAAACATGCTATCGACGGCCGGTAAAAGTACCATCCATGGACAGATTAGAACGAAAGCGACTTATGACACATTTCAGCGAAAAAGTTGCCCGGAATCAACCACTCCTTAAGCTTTGCACACGTACTTTTTAAACTAAGGAAGTTCCTTCGATTTCTCTCTTCCCCGCAACGGGGCATAACTGAGTCCTCCCTCCCAAGGGGAGGAGAGCATTCTAAAGTAGAAAATAGAGAGCCTGGTGAGTGAAGAACCCTTTGTGGAGAAGAAAACCAAATGCAGTTTATGACAGGAGTAAGCTCAAGTTAGTATCATTGTCTGCTTTCGTTCAAAATGAAGTACATTGTCAAGTAGAGTAATGATAAAAATAATAAAAAAAACTTATGTAATCAACTAGACTCATTAAAAAATCAATGGCGTGCCATCAAATTTGTCGGTAAAAATTAAATAGAAATACATCAGTTGATCAGTCAGAAGAAGAATTAAATATCACAAACTTGGATTTTAAGTGAAAAGGCTTTAACGTTTCAATTTGAATATGCGCGAACTAAAGACACAGTTAGTAGTTACGCGGACTGGCACATTGCTTTGTGTGCTTGACCCATATCTTTGCATAAAATAAAATCATACTGAACGTGGGACATGCAGCCTAATTAACTGTGTGCCAAGTTTACCATTTCCCGATTTGCCATGCTTACGGTGAAAAAGGAGTATATAACGGGACGAAGTTATTACGGAGATTCCGATGCCTAATAAATCCCTTACATGTGAAAGCGGTTTACTAAAATATTCACTTAGCAAACTAGATATGGTCGCAAGAAATTCGAAAAAGTATTGCAGCTGTAGTGAGAAGCCTCAAGTCGTGTTCTCAGTTTCCCAATTACACGTATTTGTCTTTGAGATCAGGCAACTAAAAGACCGCGGAAAGATCTCCACATAAATGTATGGAAAACTTTAAACAAGACCTTAATACGCACTATAGATTACTTAGAAGAAAACCGCCAAATGCGATTTCCAGAGTATGATATCAACGTTACACAATAACTTACAAACCTGTGTTTTTGAATGAACAGTTTGTGTGACAGCAGCGGAACAGTGGTGTAAGGTAAAATTAAGCACTTATTGACCAGCTCCGTAATATTTACACTTATAAATGTTTAGGAGGGAAGCCGATTTAAAATTCATTATCACATGATTTACATCTTATTAGATTCTTCCGTTTCAACGGGGCACGCCGACCAACAATCGAAAAAGAATTTAATTAAAAAACGCTGTCCCTTGTTAATGGTCGATTAGGTGGGAAGAAGTGATCTTGCCTACTCTCACATAAAATCATCTGAGGAAGTTTGTTATCAGACAATAGAAGAATCCTGAAAACAATCCAGAAATCGCAAGTATTGATGAATAAAAAAAAAGATCCAAGCAAGATTCAACCACACCTGTTCTATTTATGTGACTGTATAAAAAAAATTTCAAACTAATTAGAAAAACTGTAATGGAATTATATCTTATCTCGATGTGATTACTCCAATAAAAACAACTGAACATTAAAAGAAACCGACAAAGTTTTACCCCACAGGGCAGAGCGAAATAATCCTCTTTCGTAACGAGCCTAGGTTATACTATAATTATGCAATTCCGATGTTTACCTACAACACGCTCTTGAATTGAGACGAACATATAAATCATTGGTTTGCAATAAGTCTTAAGAAAAATTCCGACGGTCAAGACTGAATAGAGTGGAGTGGAGTATGGCTCAGAACAGATGAAGTCTATACGGACTTTTATTTACCTGTCCGTGATTCTATGAACAGGTATACAGCCATTCTCAGGTCAATTTATAAGAACGACTGTGGTCCCTAAATTCTTAGAATGTAATCTCATAGACAGAGTCTCTTTGCCTTCACGAGCCTTCAGCGGGACTAACACTTATGTGCAAAGTGCACTTTAATCGCTGTTAGTGGTTTCTAGGTTAGGCAAGACTGCTGTTTTCTAACAAAACATATATCTATCTCCTTTTACTTCGTTTAATGATGGCCCCAAAGATTGTTTGGAAAACGAGATCGTTTCCGGTTCTGTGCCTGGAGCTGTACATACCCTTCAGCCGTTAATCCGCATTCTTGACAATATTTCAAATAAAACCGGTGATAGAGAAACCAATGTTGCACTTTGTCATCTTACGTTCATCGCTAAAGCAATAAGCGACGAGAATTTCGCTCCATAAGAGTTTCGTGATGATTTGTTGAAGTTTTCAAACATAGATGCACAGATATGATACCAGTGGGTCAAACGTTTGTACAGTAAACTCCATTTCGGCTTGCACCGGACACGTTTAATGTGATTTATTGATCTACCCGTCTATGTCAAGGAAATGTTTATTTGCTTCTGAATTACAATCCTGACACGTGGTGTGGTTTTCACTTATTTTTGCAACATGCCCCCATTTGAAGTGCTTTTTTAATTTTTCTATCAAGGCGTATTTCTTTTCCTGTCAAGTGCATAAAACTATTCAAATAAACTATAGCACGAAAATGGACTTAAAGTGCCTATGTTTGTGTTGGAATCTGAGAACGGTCATAATGAAGTTTCCTAGTTTTTACAGGTGTTGCTTTGTTGCTACACAAAAGGTGTTGTTTGGAACAGATGGTTAGCAGACAACAGGCGGGTTTAAAAAGAAAGTCATGCTTACCTACGCAACCTTTTTGATTTATGATAGTTTATGTTGAGTACGTGAGGCATCATGGACCCTTATAAACCTTTAACAACGGTGATGAAGACGGTCTGTAAACATCAAACTCCAATGATCTGCAAAACCATTAAGCACATGTAGGCGCCTCAAGACCGGTGCTTGGTGTTTGCAAGCATAGTGACTCCAGTGGCATAGCCTTCGAGCCGAGAGGGGTATTGAGGGAGGGGAGAGTAGGGATTCCAAACAATTTTGGACGGGGTGAAATAGGATCCTTGAAGCTCCTCAACCAAAATATGGGTGTTGTCAGAATTTAGCCTTTCGTATTGTTCTGCGCAACCCAGGGCTCTGCGTACAACGTGTGCATTGTCAAGCGCGAAATCAATCTTGGGAATGAGCATTGAACGGTTCTGATTTGTCAGAAAATTCAGTGCAATCAGAGATATAATTTGACAGGAGCCTATGACATGGGCCCCTGAATTTGATAATTTAGCGGCAGAAAAGGTCTTCTAAAAACTTTCTCAGCCAAGAGTCTACTAATTAGTTATTGTGTTACTCATTTACCGCAACCGTTTTGGAAAAGATCAAACAAGGAACAATAATAAAAACCAAGAGTTATTTTAAGTAAAATGGGGCGCTGAGAGGAAGATGGGTGAGGAGTAGCTTTGCGTCCCTTTGTCTGGTAGAACAGCAAGAGCTGACTAGTATTATAAAACATGTTGATAAGTAAATGTCGAAGGGAAGGGTGGAAGGAACGCAAGTACAATCAGCAGTAGTGCAATTAACGTTAAGTTTTAATTGAAACGAGTAATTGGAATGTAAATGCTTTTGATCTCGATTTACAAGATGGGCACTTGTTAGAAATTAAGATCTGTAGTTTAGCACCTTCTGGAACGGACCCAGGCCTATTGAAACCTGGCTTGATGTTTTTTTTTCTTGAAGAAATTTTAAAACCGAAAACCTGACCTCCCTTCCAAAATTGCTCTAGCGTGTAGTTTTTCCCTCTGCCTCTAAACAACGTGCCTTAGGATGATTAACGACGACAACCTAATGTTACTTGCATAATCATTTCAGTTAGGTGATTTTAGAAAAGGAAATGCTTTACGCGGCTGTGTTTTGGTAGTTTCCACACTGCCCTGCTGAAGCGGACGATAAACGAAGAAAACCTAATGTTACTTGCATAATCATTTTAGTAAGGCGACATCAGAAAAGGAGACGCTTTACGCGGCTGTGTTTGGTAGTTTACGCCCTGCCCTGCTGAAGCGTTTTATCGAAAGATGGTGAACATAGAGATTTACCAGCTGCTTCAGGGGAAGGTCAACTGAGCAAAAATAAATAGTAAGCAAACAAGATTAATGTCTCTGGTCTTGCTTAAGGTCAATTGGTCTATTTGATTTGTGGTTAAAAGGAGTAACAAGCGACGCCCCAGAAACAAATGCAATGATTGCGACAAAAACACTATTACAGACCCACATGAAGTACTACCTGTCTACAAAACAGATTAAAACAAATCGACTTATGATATATATATATGCTTAGAAAGAATGTTACCTATCATGAAAGGTGCGTGAATTTAATTTAGCCACTTGTGTCTATCACTCTTTGTGTCGCAAAGGGTAAATTGAAGCACGTCCGAAACATTCAGTCAAGCTAAGGAAAGTCCTCAAATTGATTCTGGTCTTAAACGACATTGAAAATTCTTTAACGTAATTAACATCGCAGGCAATTCACTTAGATCCGAAAAAAAGTTAACATTTCTATCTTTTTTGTTTAAAACATTCCTTGTATGCTCTTTGTGATGGAATCTTTTGTAACAAGGCAACCATAAAAAAGTTCCTTTTGAGTCAATCTGAACATGCGTTTAATTCATGATGCTACTCGGGAAAGGCGGGAAATCGCTCTGTATCGATGCAGCGGTAACCCCATGTTTCAACGCACTATTAAATCGTGATCATTTACTCACTAGG